GACGGGGGGACGGGGGGACACGGGGACGCGGGGAGCGGGTGCCGCGGTGTCGGGGCGGCCGGTGACGCGGTGCCGCCCCCAGACAAGTACGCCATCGGGTTCCTGCCGCGGGAGAACGGGGTGCACTCCATCGACCTGCGCTTCAACGGCCGCCACGTGCCCGGCAGCCCCTTCAACATCCGGGTGGGCGAGCAGAGCCAGGCCGGCGACCCCGGCCTCGTCACCGCCTACGGCCCTGGCCTCGAGGGCGGCCTCACAGGTGACACCGCTCGCGGGGGACCCGGCGCCGGGGGGGGGAGGCGGCCACGGTCAATAGCGTAGCCGCAGGAGGGTGGCGATGGGGACGGGGCCGTGGTAGGGGGGACATGGCCATGGGGTGGTGGCAATAGGATGTGGCCGTGGTAGGAGGGACATGGCCATGGGGTGGTGGCAACTGGGACAGGCACATGGTAGGGGGGACATGGCCATGGGGTGGTGGCAATAGGACATGGCCATGGTAGGGGGGACATGGCCATGGGGAGGTGGCAATAGGACGTGGCCATGGGGACATAGCTGTGGGGTGGTGGCAATGGCTATGGCCATGGTCAATACCATGATCGTGGGAGGGTGGTGATGGGGACGTGGCCGTGCCCATGGGGTGGTGGCAATGGGGACATGGCCATGGCGTGGAGCCACGGCTCTGGGGTGATGGCCATGAGGACATGGCCATGGGGTGGTGGCAATGGGGACACGGCCATGGTGTGGGGACACGGCTCTGGGTGGTGGCAACGGGGCCATGGCCATGGGGAGGTGGCAATGGGGACATGGCCATAGCGTGGAGCCACGGCTCTGGGTGGTGGCAATGGGGACGTGGCCATGGGGAGGTGGCAATGGGGCCATGGCCATGGCAATGGGGCCATAGCCACGGCGTGGGGCCACACCTCAGGGTGGTGGCAATGGGGACACAGCCATGGGGAGGTGGCAATGGGGACACGGCCGTGGGGAGGTGGCAATGGGGCCATGCCCATGGCATGAGGCCACACCTCAGGGCGGTGGCAATGGGGACACGGCCATGGCGTGGGGCCACGGCTCCAGGTGGTGGCAGTGGGGCCGCGGCCGCGGCGCGGTGCCGGCCCCTGACGCGCCTGCCGCAGGCGTGTGCTCGGAGTTCCTGGTGAAGACGGCCAACGCGGGGGCGGGCGCGCTGGCCGTCACCATCGACGGCCCCTCCAAGGTGAAGCTGGACTGCGTGGAGTGCGCCGAGGGCCACCGCGTCACCTACACCCCCATGGCCCCCGGCAACTACCTCATCTCCATCAAGTACGGCGGCCCCCACCACATCGTCGGTAGCCCCTTCAAGGCCAAGGTCACCGGTACGGACGGGGGGGGGTGGGGGCGGGGACCAGGGGGCCCCCGGGGGGGGGGGTA